GGGGGGGGGCAGCCAGAGCTTAGCCCTGGAACCCCAGCTCCTTGTACTTGGCGGCCATGTCGTTTCGGAACAGCTCCAGGGCTTTCTTCATGGCTCCCTGGGCGTCGGCGCCAAAGTCCCCGGAGTGCTTGCTCTGCAGGACCTGGATGATGATCTCGGAGATGAACTGCAGGGGGGGCGAGGGGTCACTGGGTTGGACAGGCCAGAAGCTAGTGGGGCTGACCCAGGCCCACCTTCGCTCCATTCCAGGGCCGGTTATTGGGGCACCCAGGGTTGTCTTTTCCCCCCAGGACCCCAAGACAGGAACAGATGGGGAAACTGAGGCCTGTCTTGGGACAGACAGGAAAGGCCAGGCGGTGCACCCCGGCCACGTGGCAGGGGGGCTGCCTACCCACTGCCCTGCTTGGCTCCTGCTCAGGCGAGGACCCAGCGGCAGCCGGGCCAGAGCTCAGGGTGGGGCACTCAGGGCGCGGAAAGGAAGGGGCTGCGCCTCACCCTGATTTTACCCAGAAGTTTGCAATCAGGAAATCTGGAAAGAACCAACTCCTATTTGCATGTATTTAGCATTTGCATTTAATGACTTGGAAGGGTTATTGCTTTAAATAGGGCGGGGTGGAGCGTGGGGGACAGAGAGCCTCCCCTTTTCCATGGGAGCAGGGGAGGGAGGAAGAAGAGGAAGGAGAAGGCCTCCGTTTACACACCCCACCTAAACGTCTGCTCTCAGCCCCACCACTTAACACCCACAGTTTCGTCACCGAGCACACCAAGGCAGGCATCGCTGTGCCGGGCGCGGGGCCACCGCGGGGCCTGCGCCATCTCACGGGTATAAATGCTACAGAGCTTTTTCAACAGTTAATCAAGATTGATACCAAGCACGGCCCCTGGCCAGCAGGCCCCGTGGGGTCGTTTTACGGAGTCCCAGGCAGGAAGTGGCCAGGCTGGGGTCACGCAGCAAGTGGCCGGCAGAGCGGGGGGTTCATACCCAGGGGACTGTGGACAGAGGGCCGTCAGAGCCAAGGACAGATGCAGCGACGGCGCTGTCATCACGTTTCGCCATTTCTCAGGAGCCTGGGGTGCCAGTGACAGAAAGCCATTGGGGAGGGGGACAGGAGCAGAGGGAGCCCCCCAAAAGAACAAGAATCAACGCCTTTCAGCTAAGAAACCAGGACAGCCCACAAAGGTCTGCCCTGGGCCTCGATGTGGACAGATACCTTCACCTTTCACTTCACGACGCAGCAAAACAAAGTGGGGGTACAGGTGCCAAGGAGCAACCTTAGGAGACCGAAGTTCCAGGCCCAGCTCTGCCCAGGCCCCCTGTGTGACCTCACCTGGAACACAGGGGCGTAGGAGACCCCATAGGGAACCTCGGACTCAGCCTTCCCTGAATTGATGGCAGAGTCACTAATATTGGGAACTACGGGGTGGGCCAGCAGAGCGACTGAGACAAGGGTGCCCTCTGCCCCTCGCCACCGCCGGCCCCCACTCGGGCGAGAAGGAGCCACCTCAGGGAGAGCACCGAAGAGGTCCACGGAGAGGGGAAAGGCTGCTGCTCGGGGCTGGGGCTGCAGTAAATTAAGCCTGTTTGGGGTGGGCTTGGCTGCGTTTTCTCTCTAAGCCTGTTCCTTTATCCCCAGAGCGTGAACGTGAACGCTCCTCGGGCTGGACTGTGAGCCCAGCACACACCGCAGGGGCTCAGGCCCGGAAGACAGCCAGGCTCTACCCTGGAGGCGCTCCTGGCCTGGCCCCCGGGGCCAGGATCATTACAATACAGCCCGCAGGCGCCTGACAGCCTGAGCATAAAGCCCCTTCGGGGTGGGGAGGACACGCAGAGGGGGCAGCTGCTTCATGGGCCTGGGGCCAGGACAGAGGAGGTGGTTTCTGAGCTGGGGCTGGGAGCTGAGAGGGATTCACCAAGAGAAGAGGCAGGAGGCACAGAGTCCAGAGGCAGGACTGGCTCCTCACGTCTGGGATTCTGAGTGGGATGGGCAGAGGACGGTTGTGTGTGTGGGGGGCGGGGGTGCAAGGAGGTGAGGCTGAGGAGGGGTTGTGGTTGTCAGTGAGAGGCATTGGGCCACAGAGATTCAGAGCCCGGGCTCCAGAGAGCAGACTGTGCCTGCAGGCTCTTCAGCACTGTGACCTTGGATAAGTGGTTTAACCTCTCTGAGCTGTTTCCAAGTCTAGAAAATGAGAATGACCGGGCACCTGCCTGGCAGAGACTGCACACTTTCTCCACTGGTAGCTGCAAGCTGGCAAGCTGGCTGCATGGAGTGACAATGGGTTACACGTCCCAGCTTCCCAGGCAGACAAGTGAGCTCTTATAACTAAATTCTAGCCAAGGAGAAGTGAACTAAATCGTTGCATGAAATTCCTTAGACTCCTTAAAAGAGTGGCGTCCTCTCCTCGTCACGCTTCCTGTTGGGAGTATGAACCAGATGGCTGGCGCCCTAGCAGCCATCTTGAACCATGAGTCAACTTTGAGGGTGGCTGCCACATGCTAAGGACAGGGCAGAGCAGAAAAAGCCTGGCTGCCTGGGGCTCCACAGCAGCTCTGGACTTACTGCTCCGAACTCCTTTTGTGGAAAAGGAAAGGAAGATGCCAGATGCAATGTCTCACCTTGTGGGGGCAACGGTGAGACCCCTTCTCAGTGACCCAAATACCATCGCTCTTACCCTCGTTGCTGTACCAGCTGCCTGCTGCTCCCACCCCAAGAAGGTGCACCTATCCGCCCCTCCTCCACTAGGACCCCGACTCTCTGTCTCTTCATCTGTAGGGATGCTGGAGCCAACAGAGCCAGCCTGCCACTGCCACGCCCTGCTGAGCCCGGCTGCCCCGCTCTCGCCGCATGAGTCCTGCATGTCTCAGGCCCCCAGTGGCCCCAGGGTGCTGGCAGAACAGAGACCTAGTGTGAATCCTGGTTCTGCCATCTGCCACCTCTGGGACCACGGACAAGCTATTAATCACCCTGTGCCTCAGTTTCCCCATCTGTGAAGTGGCACAAAATAGAAAGGATGCCGGCTGAGCACCAGCATCACTCTTCTCCCTGGGCCACAGGAAACTAATTTGGGGGAGAAACATGTTTACTCTCAAGACCCCAGGAGGAAGGCAGAGTGGGTGACAGCCCCCTCTTTATAGATGAGGAAACTGGGGCGCAGAGAGGAGTGACCGGGTCACCCCTGCAGTTAGCAGCTGTGCGGGGACTAGGACCCAGGCTCGTCCTGGCCAGGCCTCTCCCGCCCGTGCCCACGCCCGCCTGCTACGCACCTCCAGGTACTTGACGGGGATCTTGTGCTTGTTGGCGTGGGACTGGGCCAGAGGCTGCAGCTCGGCCGCGTGCTGCCCCTTCTTCTTGAGGATGCCGCCCAGGGCGGTGAGCACGGTGCCTCCATGCTTCTTCAGGTCCTCGGAGGCCCTCATCTCATCCTCCGACTTTAGGCCCTTGAACTTGTCAAACTTCTCCAGGGTCTCAGGGTGATTCTTGAAGAGTCTGTGGGGACAAACAGGGGTGAGGTCAGACGTGGGCATGCGCGGTGGGGCCTGGAGGTGGCCGGACTAGAGGTCAAGTCCAGGCTGCCCTGCTTCCTGGCTGTGTGACCTCGGGCAGCTCACTTGACCTCTCTGTGGTTTGTCTCCTCACCCGAGGCCTGGGAATAACCAGTGTCTCACGGAGGGTGTGCCAGGAGGACTCAGTGAAGGTGTGTCCTGAGGGCCCCAGGGCACTGGCACACAGCCTATGTTGTGTAAATTCCTGCTATTATTTTTATGTTGGCATCATTGTCTCCATCTTCTTCGTTGCTACGGGGAGAGGCAGGCAGGGAAGCCATCTCTGCCCTCATCGCACCCTGGCTCACTCAGGTTTTCCCTAAGTTGTTTGGAGAATGGAGGACAAACTAGCATCGTGGGAGGAGCAGGGGGAGGTGGGGGCAAGAGAGCGGGGAGCTCTGCACCCACTCCTGTACTTCCCGCTGGGTCATGTTATCCCTGTTCCACAAGGCTCGGGACGTGCAGTCCTAGCTCGGTCTCGCGGGGCTGCTGTGCAGAGCAGCGGGACTGAGATCAGGCCCGAGTGACTCAAGCAGTCGTGCACATCAGCGACCTTCTCTGCTGCTTCCTGTCTAGGGATCATCCTTTGGTTGCTTGAATGCTTCCTGCGATGGGAGACTCACTACCACCTGCCAGAGCCTCTCCAGCCTGGAGCAGCTCGCAGGCTCGCTCCCTGGACCTCCCCGCCCCAGGAGGTGCAGGTGGTGAGGGGCCCTGGTGGGAGGCACCTGCCAGAGACCAGGTGTGCCAGGCAGGTATCCAGTGAGCTGGCTATAGAGGGCCCTGCCCATGACCCTGAGCGGCCACCTCCAGCCTCGGACCTCAGCCCTCTTCCTGTGAAAGGTGGTGTTGGTTAAAGAGGGTCACGCCAACTTCTTGTCCTTCCTGGGCAAGACCAGAGGTGGGTGGCAGCTCAGGTCTCATGGCTGTGGGCGGCAGAGCTCAGACCCAAGCCCACGGTCAGAAGTTTCCAGAGTTTGCACTGTTCCCCTTGGGTTGCACCCTGAAATGTTGGCTGGAGTCGCCCCGTCTGCCTGGGTTTTTTTTCTCCTCCTGGATGATGGCTTCAGGTCCTTGACCAGTTTCTGTTCCTGGCTGTGTGAAATCCTCAACCTGACCACGGACACACCTGGACTCACACGCATGCACACGTGGGTGCACCCCCCACCCCTCCTGGACTGCCAGGGCTGCCCACAGCTGTGCCCCGTGTCACCCCTCACCCTGGGGCCTGGCCAGGCCTCGTGCGTCATTGACAGCTCGTCTCTGGCACCTTTCACTCTAGGGACCCTGAGCTCCTGACTATTATTATCTGTTGACAATGATCCTTGAACTGCTGCCTGACAGACGTGAGACCTGTCGCCCACAGAAGGAGGCCCGACCCGAGGCCCAGAGCAGTCAGGGACCTCAGGCATTTGGGGATTTCCAGATGTCTGGGAGAAGGAATGTGGGCCTGAGGAGTAGGGAAGCTGAGTGCTGGCCCCGGCCCTGTCTCCAGTGTGCTGTGTGACGGTGGATAAGTCACTGAACTTCTGGGGCTTGGTTCATGCTTCTGTAAAGCAAAAGGGTTGGTCTAGTTCATTTTGCAGCCTCCAAATTCTAAGACTTGACCCCAGTCCTCACCCTCCGCCCTAACCTTCCATGTACAGCATGTCAGCCGGAGCAGGACCCATATTTGCTTTAAGCAGGGCAGGAAAAGCAAGCTAAATCATGATCTAGAAAAGATGCAGCGTGAGCCTGGCTCTTCCATTGGGAGCAGAATCGGGGTGCGCGAGGGGCGGGCAGCACAGCGCTGGGGTCTGGAGCAGGTGAGCTGGATCCAGGAGGCCTAGACTTGAATTCCAGCTGTGGCTCTGGGCAAGTCATGTCACCTCACTTTTAAATGTGGGGTCCTAACATCTCCCTCCCCAGGCTGAGGCAAGGCTTTAATGAGTCAGTGCCTGTGAGGGGCACACAATTTGCTGTTCTCCAACGCGCCCCTGACCTCTCGTCTCTACTGTCACCATCACCCTCGCCATGGACACCAGCACCCCATCACCTCACTGTCACCGCCAGCATCAGTGAGGACTGGGGTTAAGGCTCTGTCTAGTCGCCAGTGCCGGGTTGACTCTCGGCCTTGATTTCTCCCTTAACATGATATTATTGGCCTCCAGCCACGATTTGCAAACCTTTCATGGCCTCGAAATCCTTTGTTCAAATGCAAAAATAAATAAAGCAGAAAAGTGTGGCAAGAAAAGGAAAGGCAGGCGGCTGGAGCCCCCTCGGCAGCCCCTGCCTCCTGACCTCCCCGCTCCTGGACCCACAGTCTTCCACTTGACCTTCCGGCCTTTGTGCCCCATACCTCGGACTTGCAGCATTTTATCAACCAACTCAGCTGGACAGAATTTGCCTCTTTATAGTGGGAGAATGGGAGAAGAAGGCCAGTTAGAGAAAGCCCAGATTCAACATCTGAGACAGACCAAGAAGCCCGCTCCCCGGGACATTCGCAGCTCAGAGAGCTCGTGTCCTCTCTCCCCTGACCCCACCCGTCCCGGACACCAAGCGGGCAGGAGCAGCTGGCGTGGTCCCTGCGTGCCCGGCATGCAGAGACATACAGGGCACCGGGCTCTCTGGGGCCTTCCAGGGGCCATCACATCTCGTCCCTGGCATCTGGCCCCTGGCAGGTCTCCTGGTCCACCCTGAAATGAGAGGAAACGTCTCCCCGGATGATACGGCATCTCAAGTCTCCTTGGCGACATCCAAGTGACTATCTTAGAGCTGGCAGCCCCCAGATGACCTTGGACAGACTCTGACTTTGCAAGCCAAGCTCCTACCCTAGTTCCCTAGAAGCAGGGGGGGACCATGAACTCAAAAAATGCCAGGGCATGAGCCCCCCGAGACCAGGCCAGACTATCAGTTAGAAAATGGGGTCCAGGGAGGAGCAGTAACTCAGCCAAAGTCACACAGCAAACTGGGGGCTCAGAAGTTGATGTCAACTTGCAGGAGCTCTTTGGCCAGCCAGACAGGACCTGTTGCATGTTGCAGCCCTAGCAGGAAGAGAAATTCAGAAGGGAACTCCCCAAGATGCCAGCAGTCAGCTGGCAACTTGATGGTCCATGCGCTATTCGAGCATGGGACTCTGGGCGCAATGACGGGCCGGCTGTCCCAGACATGGAGCTGGAAGTGGGTGAAGCCTAAGGGAGACAGAAGGGGCACCTGGCCTGGGAAAGGAAGCCCATTCTGGCTCAGAAGGAAGGAGAAATTCATCTGTCAATTAAAGGACCAAGGTCAAGCACGCACTCCTGGCTACCCCAGCCCACTTCCTCCCGGCGCTGATGGACTGATTTACACCCCGTGAGGCTTTTGACCTGGCTGGCCCAGAGCATGAGAGAAGGGGCCCGGAAAGAGGGGAGTCTGTCGCCCCCCGGGGTAGACGGCAATGGGAAAATGAGCTGTATTTGCAAGCCATGTGCCAGTCTCTATTGACAAAACTCAGACTTTTGTTTTCTTTGGTTTATTCCAGAACTCCTTATAGAAGGCAAGACCGTCTGTCTGAATGCAAGACCATTGTGAGCAATCAAAATCAAAACATTCTCGACATGAAAAGTCATACCAATGGGCCTCTTCCCTTTTCTAATGACAGTAATTTAAAGATCCCTGTCAACTTCCAGAACTCATTTCTGCTCTACAGTGCAGATATCAGGAGTTCCTCCCTTGCACCAGAGAGGAAATCAAGGCTCAGAGAGGTTGTGTACCTTCCCTAAGGTAACACAGCCGCTCAGTGGCAGATCCAGGTCTAAAGCAACAGGTTCCACCTTGAAGGCCATGTCTTAGCCTTGACACTTCATAGGCTTTCATAGTCTTGGGACTCAGGGAGCAACCTCTCCCTCCTAGGTCCTTCTTGTTCTCATCCATTAAGTAAGATCGGGCCTGGAGGTGGGGAGATATGTCAGGGCTCGCTAACTCTGTCTACATTCCTCTTGGTGGGCTCTAAGTATCTGGGGTTGCTCACCCAGCTCCCCTCCAATTCTTGACATCGGCATGAGGTGGAATGCTTCCTTCCCTGACTCCAATCTCTGACGTACAAAAGCAAAAGCTTTAACAAGTGAGACTTTTAACAAGCTCAACTAACACAGCCAACTGGTCAACCCTGGCGGCCAACATGCCACCTTGCAGGTGAATCCCCTGGATCTTTGGGAAGCAGGTGCTAGAGATAATGGAATCTCTTCCTTTTACCTGATGAGGACCTCTTGCCCGTGGCCCGGGATGTCAGCCTCCACCTTCCCCCAGACGTTCAGCACAGCTGCCATTCCCCGTCGCTGAGCCCCATGGCGAGTCTGAAGAAGACAAAGAGAGCAAGCGTGGACTGACTGGGTGTCCTGGCCCTGAAAGCTGGGGTTTGAGGTTGCCTGGTCTCTCAGAAGCTTTATACCCTCCCGGATGCTTGACACTCGATCACTTGACTGCTTGTTCTCTCTCTCCCTTGCCCTCACCCCACCCCCTATCATGCAGGGGTCTAATCTTTTCCTTTCTCTAACCCTCACATGGAAGCTATTTTGGGGCAGGTGCCATTGTGGGGAGGTAGGACAACTCAGGCCACAGGGGGTGGGGGTGGTTGCGTGTGGCAAGAGACGAGAGGAGGTTGGGCCACTGTCTGGACTGTCAAGCTAACAGAAAGGGCACCAGCAAGGCCAACCCCAGCGGCCTGAAACCCAACTCTCTTTGCTGTCAGTCATCCCACGAGGGCTGGCATCTTTCTGAGCTTAGGTAGCAGGGTCCTACTGGCCCTGCAAAGTGGGGCTTTTGGGGCTCTCGCTGTCTACATGCTAAGGCTCCTTTTAGTGGGCGCTAGCCACTGCTCAGCCACTTTTTGACCCTTTGCCAGAATATGCCCCACTCAGCCAGAAGTGTTGGGAAGGAGCCACATGTGTTCCTGCTCAGAGCCGGGTCAACCCAGGAAAATCCATAACCATTAGATCCTGATTTCCCCACACCACCAAGAAAACTGGCTTGTGAAGTGCCCTCTGAACAAAGGACTACTTCCCCCTTCCATTTATTTGTATGTAGTCCTGTTGTATTGTTTACCTCATCAGATTATATTTCTTTGTTTCCAAGCCAACTGCTCCATTAGTATAATAGTAGCCAATACTCCCAGAGAATTTGCCGGGCGCCAAGCCCATTCCCAAGCACTTTATATTCAGCGGCTAGTTTAATCACCTAACAGCCTTATATGAGCAACATGAACATTACCCCATCTAATTGAGGGGAAGTGAGGAAATCTGTGCCGCAGCCCCATAGTTAGTTGATGGAAGACTTGGGAATTGAGCCCAGGAAATCAGACCCCTGAGTCCATGTTCCTGAGCATCTTGCTTTGATTTTCACATGGGCAGGGGCTTTGTTTTATTCATCTGTGTATCTTTGAGACTTCACATAGTGAACTGCCTCAAGTCTGAACTAAATGTTCGTTGAGTAAAAAGGTGGATCGCTTTGCAAGGAAGGCAAGTGGAGGATTATTGGCCATATTTTACAATAATCCATCATCTGTCCACACCCATCCATCCATCCATCCGTCCATCCATCCCCCAAACACCCAAGTATCCATCATGTTCTCTCTCCAACCTGCTACCAATCACTGCTGATTGGACCATGCTGACACCTCGTCCCGGGCAGCCAATGGCAGTGCTGTCCATTAGCCACAACAATCACATCCCCCCTTAAAAATGTGATCAGTTTGGCAAAAAATAGTGCGGTGATGGGAACTGTGGAGTCCCAGGGAGTCGGTTTCATGGCTATTCCTTGATAAGAACCTCAAACTTAAAGCCTCCCAATGCAACCCTGAGTCTAGAATACTCTCTACCCTTCAAGGGTTATCACGAGCCACCGCTTCACATATGATCTCCTTTTTATCTTTTCAGGGAGTCCCATTTATTGAGTCAGCTGATTCCTGGCCAAAAAGGTCAGAGGCACAAGGGCCGCCTGTCAGGTGCCCTTCCTAACATCGTGTTTCAGATGTCACCGTGAGGGGGTAGAGCTCAGGGTAGAGCCTCTGATGGCACAAGTCACCCACAAGGCTCTGCCTTCACCCTGGATACCGGGCCAGGGAGCTTCCAGAGCCCAGGCGGCTGTAAGACGGGAGGTGCTTCAGCAACATGAACAGCGAAAGAGCTATAGGTAGGACTGTGTCGAGCTAAAAAGATTTTGCACAGCAAAAGAGACTATCATTAAGATGCAAAGACACTGTACTGAATGGAATCAAAGACTGGCACATTGTACGTCCAATAGAGGCTAATAGCTGAGGTTTATAAAGAATTCATCCAATGCAACAACAATAAAAATAATCAAAAAGTGGGCAAAGGATCTGAATAGACACTTCCCCAAAGAAGACATATAGATGGCCTATTGGCACATGAAAAAAAGATTCACTATCTCTTATCAGGTAAATGCAAATCAGAACCACAATGAAAGGGCCTCCCTGGAGGTGCCACCAAGCTATCAGCAGCCACTGCAGCACGATCTGATCGACCCAGCCAGGGAGCTGACCCACAGGGCACAGCAGACCTCTCCTTGTCTCCTGGCTGCTCCCCTCAGCAGTGTGTATCAGTAGATCTGCCTGTTCTGCTCCCCACTCTGTCTCTGGTGAATCCTCTCACTCCCCCCACCCCTCTGGCCTACACCCAGCTCTTGTGTGCATAAATAAGTAAAAATAAATCTTTAAAAAAAAAAACAACCCACAATGAATGAGATACCACCTGACACCCGTGAGAATGGTCCAGATCAAAAAGACCGAACAAGTGCTGGCGAGGATGTGGAGGAAAAAGAACACTCTTACACCGTGGGTGGGATGTAGACTGGTCCAGCCGCTATGGAAAACTGCGTGGCACTTTCTCAAAATATCAAAAACAGATCTCCCATCATATCCAGCTATTCCGCTCCTTGGTATCTACCCGCAGACAGTAACGACACCCACCAAGAAGACACCTGCGCTCCGGTGTTCCCTGCGGCACTACGGAAAATAGCCAAGAGGTGGAAACAAGCTGGGGGCCCAGAGGTGTGGTGTGTGTATGTACACAGCTGCAGGATGAAATCCTGCCATTTGCTGCATCATGGATGGCACCAGAAGGGATTATGCTAAGTGGAACAAGCAGAGAAAGATAAATTCGAGATGATTTCACTCATATGTGCGGAGAAGAAAGAATCAAGCAGAGAAACAGATAAAACGAGGCCAGAACAAACCAGAGGGGAGGGTGGGCGTGGGGCCCCGTGGGCAGTAGAGGAGGGTTTGGGTGTGTGGGCAGTGGGTGTGGGGGAACACACGGCGAAGAGGGGTAAACCTGCACCCTTAAAACATAGTGTTGTAAAGTGGTGATGCCTCAATTAAAAATGTCCTAGGAATTTTCCAGAGGCTGCTCATTCATTCTTTTGTTCAACTGCCTGAGGCTGAGGGCATTTGTGCAAACCTCAGTATCAAAAGAGGGCACTCTGAGAGGGTGTGCCAAGGGCTCAGGACCTCGGCAGCCGCAGCCACCTCCTCTGGTGACCTGCTGAGGACGAGCCGACGTGGAGGAGCAGGAGCAGCTGGCCCTGGCCCCAGGCTGGCCACTGAGCCACCTGGCTGATGCTACTGAGAGAGCATCATGGGCTCTGACTGAAGCACTTAGCCCTGGGCAATGCCATTTTCCATCTCTCGCTGTCCTGCGCCCTCTTGGGACAGCTGAACAGCCCTGGGGGGCAGCAGGGGAAGGCTTAAGGAAACAAAGCCTTGGTGAGGTCCAGCTCCGAACCCAGATCCAAAGACCCACAGCTCTTTCCAGCCCCCGGTTGTCTGGGACAGCCGGAGCCTTTAAAATCTCATCAATTCCTGACTGATGCTAAAGCGTTTAACACGGAGCTGTCAACCCCTTGGCAAGCACCCCGTCAGCTGGCACACTCGCGGGGACCTGCGGCTTTGAAGTTGATGAACCTTTTAAGTTTTACCATTTAAGCTAATAGGCAAGAACCGACATCTGTTTGTACTTACATCTCTACAACAGAACAGGCTTACCTAACCGTTGCTATGGCTACCTGGAGTCGCCAGCTTTGTTTGGGGGCTATAATTATCCCCATGACAGCCTTCAAATGGCCAGGGCAGGCAAGCTGGAGGTGTGCAAATAGGAAAGATGGCTGCCTTTGTGTGCAAAACTTTCTGCAGCCTTTCACTCTCATCTCCTTCTCTCCTGCTCGCGCGCTCTCTCACACACACACACAATGTGCACACACATGCATGTGTGTGCACACACTTACCATACATGCACCACATACATGCATGTGTGTTCAGGGACTTTAATACCCAATGGCAGCAAAACTGGCTGCCATTAAGTCCAAGCTGCCCACTCCTCTTTTCCCCTTTCATGTCACAGAAGCCTTTGAATGTGGAAGTCTGAGACTTGTAGAATCACCCTCAAATCTTCAATTTCTGGAATCTTGAGATCCCAGGATTAAAATTCTAGAGCTCCAATGTCTTCAGTGTTTGCCACTCTGGAAACTTGGGTTCCAGATTCCAGAATCACAGAAAGCTGGAGACAAAGAAAAGTCTAGCAGTCTCGGGCCGTAGTATCTGGAAGCTAGAAGGGACCTCCGGGGATGCTGGCCCAAGGGCCCACCGAGGGCGGGAGTCCTCCCTGGGGCTCGTCATCCGGCATCTGCTTGAATACTCCAAGTCCCTAAAGCTTTAAAGAGTCTCCATTCCCGGACCAGAACACTGCCCCACCCCCACCCCCCTGCCACCCGCCCTGTCCTGCTCGCTCCACGTGCTGGCCCCGTGGCCCACCAGGGACTTGGGGGCCGGTGAGCGTCTCTCACAAGGGGAGTTGCAGGCCCACTTAACTTTCTTTGTCCAGACCCAGCATCCCAGGACTTTAACTGAACGTTGGCTCCTAGCAAGGCCAGCGGAGTCTCTCTGGACAGAGAAGCCCAGTTCTGCCAATCCTCAGGGGCTGACAACTCGCCAGGCTCGACACCACACACAAAGCAACGGCCGGGCGAGGGGCTTCTAGCTCCTACCCACCCGCACATGTTGGTGTCCCCGCTGGCCGTCACCCAGGCCCTTCCCTTTCAAGAGCTGCAAATCCAGCCTGGATGACCAGGGGATTTGTGGCCTTCGGGCAGCCAGCAGCTCCCCCCAGCAGTCAGGGGTTACACTGGAAGACTCCACCAGGCCCCAAAGCCAGAAAGACAGAGACAGTTTGGCTCTTCAAAGTCAAGGTCCCCTCAACCTTGACCACCTCCTTTCCTCCTCCTCTGGGAACCACCCCTTTGGAGGCCAGCCTGGCGATGCCTCCCTCTGCCCCCGGCTTGGCTCACTGTTTCCTGGCAGAATCCACCCCCCGGGACCAGCGCCAGGCCAGACTCCGGGCAGAGCTGGGGCTGGAGCTTGCAGGGACCAGCCAAGGCCGTCCTGGCGGTGGGACCCCCAAGCCTGTGCCAGACCCTCAGTTGGGCCCCCCTCCCCCTCAATCCCCTAGCAGCATCGTACCGACCACAGCTCCCCTTCTCCCCAGCTGTCCTCCTGGAGCCTCCAGCCAAGCAAGCGGTGGGGGCTGGGGGTGGGGAGAGGTGTCTTATAGCAGCTGGGGAGAGGCACAAGGAACTAAAAATACAGTTTACAGGGCAAGGCTCCTCCTCCCCCTGGAGGCCATGGGGGCTTATTGGAGGAGGCCTGGCAGGACACAGGGATCCTGATACCCCAGGCAACAGGTGTGGCCTGGACAGGCCGGCTCCCTGACCCTCGTTCAGCCCCATCTCTGCAGCCCCCTCCGCCCCTTCCTCCCTTCCTGGCCCTCTCGCAGAGACAGCTGCCCCGCCGGGGCCTACCCCCTACTGCACCTCTTTCCCCTCTGGAAGCCAACACTAGCACAGCTATCTCAGCTCTCTCTGCTTTGGGGTGCAGCTCCCCATCGTGAGCTCCTCAAAGCAGAAATATAAAACTGATCACTCAAAAGCAGGAATACACTGCATTCCAGGGGCACTGCTCCCCCCAGAAAGCCTTAGCCTTAGACACTTTCAAGCATAAGCTCTACTTTACACACAAGAATACCCAGGCACAGAGAGGTTAAGGAACTTGCTCAAGGTCACACAGCTAGGAAATGTCAAGCATTAATTTTGAGCCCCAGGCAGGCTGGCCCGACTCTGGAACCCTTCCGTTTCCTGCTCACATCTTCCTGACAGTGCTTTGCAAAGAACCAGGTCAATAGTTTTTTGAATGTGTGTTTTCTTGAACAGAGTCCTCCAGAGTCTTAGCTTTGTGGACGTGAAAATAGAGTTGGGAGCCTTCTGGGAAGGCTGACATCGGGGGCCCTTCTGCCATCTAGTGGCCGTCAGGAGAAACGCCACCATCGGTGGCGGGGTCCCTGTGTTCACCCCCTCATCCTGCCAGCAGAGTCAGTTTCCACCTCTACACTCATCGCAAGGGATGGTTTATAAATTATTAAAATATGAGTCTGGCCTTTGCTGGTCTTTGCTCTCGAGGGACTCAAAGTCAAACACAATAGAGATTTGAGCAAAGGATGGGAGAGCAAGAAAGTCCCCGAGGCCCGGCCTGAGGAAACCCATGGGCAGAGGTAATCTGGATGGACGTTGAAGCATGAGAGAACACTCTCGAGCCACTCCTAAGCAGAGGTTCAAACTGTGAGTGCAAAAACCCAAGGGCTGTAGGGGACGGTGCGGGGAAAGGGTGCTGGGGTAGGTGGGGCTCCCGGAGAGGGCTCCCCTGTGCCAGAGTCAGAACGAAGGGATTAGAATTTGACAGCTCAGTTTCACAAGTCGTCATGGTCACCTGGTGCCAGGCTCTGTGCTGGGCCCTGAGCAGGCTGCGGGGGACAGCAGGTTGTGTGATATAAAAGGAAGATGGCAAAAGATAAAGAGACAAACTGAGAAAATGTTTTAAAAATAAAATGGCAATAAGCAGTCATGTTTTAATCCACCTTAAATTTAAATGGCTTGAATTCAGCAGTTCAGACTATGGAGAACAAAGTTCAACCTTCTTAACCCCTCTTACCAACAAAGACAGGCACGGGAAGAGTCAAAGCCTGGAAGACAATCCTATAGAAAATGGCAATTTAAAAAAAAAATCAGGAGCAGCTACACTTACATAAGACAAAATAAACTTCCAATTAAATAAGGTAATATGAGATAGAGATGAGCATTACACCATGATTAAGGACAAGAAGAAATAATAGTTACAAATATATGTGCACAAATGATGAGCACAGGGAGATACATAACTCACAAAGTACAGAAGCACCATAAGGCACACAGCACAATTAGTGGTAGAATTAAAGAGAGATTTTAACAGACAATAATATGAGGGGTTTGTATACTCCACTTACAACTATGGACAGATCAACAAGACAGAAAATGAGAAAACATTGACCTTAAATGAGAAGCTAGACCAAACAGACTTAACAGGTATCCATAGAACTCTTCACCCAAACACCACTGTATATACTTTTTTTCCAAGTGCACATGGGACATTTGTAAGACTAGAACATGAAGAGACACAAGTCAATTGTTGATAAAATTACGAAGATTGAAATCATACCAGGTACTCCTTCAGACCATAAAGCAGAAAAACAGTTAAAGAAAAGCCATAAAAACATGAATACTAGACCATGTGCTGCTTAATAGCTATTGGATTAAAGGGCAAATTAAAATTGAAAGAAATCTCAACAAATGAAAACTGTGATACCAACTATTAGATGCAGAAAAGTCTTCTTAAGAGGAACCATAACAGGGCCTCCCCGGTGGCGCAGCGGTTGAGCGCTGGGTTGCGAAGCTGCCCGCAGCCTCTGAGGCACCAGTTTGATCCCGGCTGCTCCCCGGCCACCGGAGGAGGGTCCCGCATGGCGCGCAGACCTCTCCTGCCGCCCGCTGCTCCCCTCAGCAGTGTACTTCGGTCCTTCTGCCTGCTCTGCTCCCTGCTCTGGCTCTGGTGAATTCTCTCACCCTCCCGTGCTTCTGACTCTACCCAGTGCTTGTATAAATAAATCTTTAAAAAAAAAAAAAAAAAAAAGAGGAATCATAACTACAATACAAGACTACATTAAGAAGCAAGAAAAAACTAAATTAAAAACCTAATATTGGGGCATCCCTGGTGACGCAGCAGGTTGAGCCCAACACTGTGAAGCTTTCTGCAGCCCCTGCAGGCGGGTTCAATTCCCAGCCAGCCAGGAATATAACCACATGGCATTGCATGCCTCTCCTGTCTCGCCCGCTGCTCCCCTCAGCAGTGCTTTCGGTCCATCTGCCTGTTCTGCTCCCCAATCTGTCTGGTGAATCGTCTCACCTGCCCACACCCCTGGACTGTACCCCAGCTATTGCATAAATAAAATAAATCTTAAAAAAAACCCTAATGTTATACTTACGGCAACTTGAAAAAAAGGAATAAACAGCCTCCTTCTGGAAGCTGAGGAGGTCTGCCAGAAGGTGGGCCCAGGATTGGCCTGGAGGCTGAGGAGGTCGACCAAAAGTGGGGAATCAGTTTAGACTGCAGGCTGAGGAGGTCGTCAAGCAGGCGGGACCCAGCATGGACTAGAGGCTGAGGAGGTCGACCACCAGGAGTCCCCGGCGCAGCCTGGAGGCTGAGGAGGTCCACCTGCAGGCCAGCCCCAGCCAGTCTGGAGGCTAAGGAGGTCAACCTGCAGGCCAGTCTCAGTCTAGCCTGGAGGGTGAGGAGGTCGACCTGGAGACCGGACCCAGCCCAGCCTGGTGTCTGAGGAGGTCAACATGCAGGCCATCTGTAGCCCAGCCTGGGGGCTGAGGAAGTCGACCTGCTGGCCGACCCCAGCACAGCCTGGGGACTGAGGAGGTCCAACTGCAGGCCGGCACCAGCCCAGCCTGGGGGCTGCTTGGTAGTCCTAAAGGCCGGCCCCATGCAGCATGGAGTGTGAGGAGGTCGCCTGCCGGCCGGCTCCACACAACCTAAAGTCTGAGGAGGTAGACCTGCAGGCCGGCCCCAGCAAGCCTGGAATCTGAGGAGGTCGACCTGCAGGTCGGACCGAGCCCAGACTGGGGGCTGAGGAGGTAGA